CCAAGTGTCTAATTCCTCGTAGACAGACAAGTCGAGCACTCCGACTGTTTTTCTAACTAACTCACGGCAGTCTCCGAAGCATTAAACACGTCAACTTGGGTCGGCCCGGCCAATTCTTCGTTGTCGACGTCTTCAACACCGTCATCATCTGCTGTAGTCTCGATATTGGTTGCAGAGTTAAAAATTCCTTCATCGTTCAGGGCTTGGTAGCCGAAGTCAATTTGGTCGATTTCTAACAGCTCGATCGCTTCGCCTTTTTCACAATCTTCAAAACCTGGTATTGAGTCTAAAAGTGCAGTAATTTCTTCCAAGATTGACCTCGCTTCATCTTCTTCCCGTCCAGGTTGTTTTTCTTGTCCTTCTTCTTGTCTGGGCCACAGTCTCCCCAATCCATTTTTCAAATTTCTGTGCGTCATGCTATCCCAGGCTCCTACAAGCATGTCAACACAATTTTTGAGGTTCAGTGCTTTTGTAAATACCACAACACTTTCTTCATCCCGCTGTGCCTGCAGCAGGCAGCGCAAAGGCTTTTTCCGCTCATTCTTTTTGTTTTCTCAACCATTCCTTAGTCCATGGGCTGCAGTAATGCTGCAAAATTGGGAGGCAAGGACTGTACCTCAAAATCGTTGCAGACCCCATTCAGAGTTTCAACTGAAGGATGTGTCGGGGCATAATCAGAAGCACTTTCTCCGTTTTGCACTCCATTTCGCGGTGTTTCTTTACGCCTGGTACAAATTCATTCACATACCAGTCCCTGAAAATGTTAGCACTCATCCACGAACTTATCTGCGATTTACAACAGGCACACACTCTATATTTTTGAAGCATTAGGGTTTCTTTACTTTTTCCAATAATCATTAAAGGTAAAAAATGGGGTCAGTTGCACCTCTAGAGACCATGGTACTTATTCTGTGTTTCTTTACTTTTAACCTGAAGCTGATTGCTCCAACGAGAAGCTAGTGACTTTCGAAGCAAGATCCGCCAGTTTCATCAACGTTGTACACGTAATCTTTGCTGCGTTCTTTCTCTCTAATCACGGCCGGAAGCACATTTTTTGTTGCCTCTGTAGCATTTAAATCACTTGATAATTTTTCTTCATGAATTTTGAGTTCTCCTATGCCATGCCTTAGTTTGAAATTTTTTGCCAGCCGAAACTAGCCTTGAAATCTACTGAC